ATTTTATTTTATTTTACATCTGGTTGAGTTTGCATGCAATGACTGAACAGTTATTTTAAATTGAAAAAATGTAATAATATTACTGTTCTTACTATTTGATCAAATAAATGCAGACTTGGTGAGCATTAAAGACTTCTTTCAAAAACATTAACAACTGCTTACAAGTTGAAATGAAAGAAAATAAATGAAAACCCCAGATGCTCTCTCACATTTCTGGACCCCACTAAATATGAACATGATCATTTTCATATTACAGTCAAACACATTGGTGTGTTTCATGTCACAGCCAAACCACTGGATGCTAGATTTGCTGAATAAAATTGCACAAATGAATCATGCCGAGATGAATACAGCTGCCTCTTTGCATATAAAGCGAACTCCGTGAGTCCTGACAGCGCTCATATTACTGTGGCGGATAACAGCAGGCACTTTGACCCCGCGTCTCATTTAAATGTGGTCCGAGCCACATCAACGACTGGTCCTCTCAAAATAATCATCATATCACGAGCGGTTGACATAATGAACTGTGACAATGCCCTGCTCGCACCTTGTCCGACTGTAAAGATGTTTTATTACGTGGGTGGATATTCTCATACGGCTCACTGAAACTTTTTAATAAAAGGAAATCAGACAAGAACGACAAAAGGGCTGCAAGAGACCACACTGGATCATTCCAGCTATCGCTATAATTCAATTATACAGTCACTGCATGCTTGAGGGGTCAGCGTTTCACCGTAATTATCATATACTAAAACCAAAAACTAGTTTTAAATGTAAAACTAGGTTTGAAACATACATTTTCTGCAGTATATTATGTGTACTGTATGCAAATGGTCTGCAAATTTCTGTATGCGTGAACTATGCAACAAAGCACACTCTAGGAGAAAATGTATCCCATAATTCAATGAGCTTAACTTGACAGTTAATTTCCATTGCTGTGATGCAAAAAAATTTAAAATAATTTTGACTTATTTGATCTCTACAAATATTCAACTCATTTCTCACACTTTTCAAATGTATTTAAAAGTTAGTTTTTGAATAAATTATATATGAAAATATATGTAATAATAAATAAAATATATATAATAAATAAATCTCCTAACTACAAGATTAAAACTGAAACTAAAATAAAAATACAAGTAACAGAAAAAAAACATCTAAGTATTCAATCAGGGAATGTGAGAACTGATTAAATTCACTACTTGAATGCAATGCAAATTTGGATAAAAAGTTGCTTTGGTCTGCCAAATGCATTAACATAAAAAATGCTTAAAACGTGTCCTTGATATAAAAACTGAATTAGAACTAACAAAGCCATTGCAGAAACTTAAAAATACAATTAAATATTAAAACCAAAACTACAATAACCTTGCCACTGCATATCTGAAGGAATATCTGATAGATTATGTTCAAAATTACATGACTCCTTCAAAATATTCAGCTGCATTTCAATGAGGACAAGATGGAAAGATTGGCCACGGTAAAAAGATTTTTTTTATTATTTGTCTCTGTATCTGAGGTGAATAAGTCATCCTGTGGTTTACTCAAAAACATTGCGGGTGTCCACAAGCAGAGAAAAGAGGCTGTGCTTGTGGTATGTGTCTAGCGCCCTCTAGTGGAGAAACAAACAGTCAAACATTTATTGTGGGCAAGTTCAAATTATTTACAGCATTTGAGGACACATGCATGATTCAGGAAGCATGTATTTGTATTGCACAGTCGTGAAGCAGTTGAACTCCCTATAATATGCAAAGACCATCTGAAAATAACTTGCTTTAAAGGTGCTGCAAGCTATTTTTGAGAAATACCATGCATAAAATGCCAATCTATCTGACAGATATCACTGAAATGGGTGTCTTGAGAAATCAAACCAGTCTCTGTGACAGCAGTAGCCTCAGTAAACAGCAAAAAGAGTCATGAGTGCTCCACCTAATCAGAAACACTCTTTGTCTCTGAATAAATCTGCATATCTTCAACTGCAATTAAAGGAATATTTTGCACAAAAATGACAATTAGCTGAAAATGCACTACATCCAAGATGAAGTGTGTTTCTTCATCAGATTTGGAGAAATGTAGCATTACATCACTTGCTCACCCCTTTCAAACAGTGTCGCGTTCCGAACGTTGTTTAAGCGACATACACCGACCGGTATTGCGGTATTTTAAAAATTCATATCATAACAAAAATAAACACCGGTATTCGGTATGAACCGGTATACCGCCCAGCACTAACTATAATCAACAAATTACCTCTTAAAAGTTCATAAAAAATCATCAAGGGCTTCAAACAAACCCTCTATCCATAATATTGAGTCTGAATCAGGAGAGAATCTCCAGTCTGAATCAGGAGAGAAATATGCACAGATCAAGCACTGTTTGCAAGCAAAAGCAGTTAATATGTGGGTGGATTTTGATGCGAGAGGACAACAGGGGATGGACTTTTTCACTGGAGAAAGTGTTATGGATTATGGACTCATTTTTGACCAGAAGTGACAGTTTAAAGTTAAAATGCCTTGATGGATTTGTTTCTTACAAACAACTTTTCACTTCACAAGATGTTAACTGATGGACTGGAGTGGTGTGGGTTACTTGTGTGTTATTGTGATGTTTTTATCAGCTGTTTGGACTCTCATTCTGACGGCACCCATTCACTTCAGAGCATCCACTGGTGAGCAAGTGATGTAATGCTACATTTCTCCAAATCTGTTCTGATGAAGAAACAAACCCATCGATATCTTGACTATATTTTCTACAAATTTTCATTTCTGGGTGAACTATTTCTTTAAGATGAATGGGAATGCTGATGGTTAGCTTTCTCCTGGTATTATACAACTCCTTGTGTGGTTGAAAATATGGAAAACAGTTCAAATGTCACTAAGGAGGGAGTAGAAAAACAAACACCTAAAACGTATGCATCAGCCCCAAAAACGTGATGTAATCCTCATCTAATAACAGCAATCATCCGCAGTGCTATAGCAAACCTAAAACGGTCACTCCAATAAAATCACTCCATTTTAAATCACAGTCAACTATTTTTCAGCTTATGTTTTTTCATTGGTGTAATAACGACAAAAAAAGGGTTATGCTCTCTGTCAAAGTTTGTTAAACATCATCAGGATCTTGCATGAACAATGAACAAATAAAATTAAAGTTTCTGAAGCACAAACAAAGCAGTATGTCTGCAGAAAACAAATCAGTGCATAGCAACACCAAAACCTCATTGGAACGTGGGGTTTAACAGAGAGGGAGTATGTACTTCACATAGCAAACATTTCCACAGAACCACTGAATGCTGCCAGTAAACTCAGCAGAAACAAAACATCTGTCTGTGATCAAAATCCCAAAACAGACGATGGGAGTCAGGACAATGATATTTAACATGAACAGAGTGAGTATCCATGTCTGAGAGGGCCAAATCGAAGTCCTGACCTCTGATGAGATCGAAACAAGCCATTCAAGCAAAGCAAACCCTATATAAACCATCTGGTTTAAAGGAATCATCTTTACTTGAACATTACAGTGCAACATCTGTATATGATCCTGCCTCAACATTGACTTAAACGTCTATCAGATATTTATGTTCACGGGATCTTTTGACACTAAACTAAGCTGAGGATTCTGATCATGTCAGCACTTGTTTTTGCTCTATTTTCAAAACAACAACAACAACAACAACAAAAAAATCTTAAAATGAACAGCAAAACCTTTGCAATTATGTTCTCATAGAAAGTTCATTAGCTCGATTTTCAACGGTTTGTTCAAGCTACAAGCCATTCAAGCAAAGCAAACCCTATATAAACCATCTGGTTTAAAGGAATCATCTTTACTTGAACATTACAGTGCAACATCTGTATATGATCCTGCCTCAACATTGACTTAAACGTCTATCAGATATTTATGTTCACGGAATCTTTTGACACTAAACTAAGCTGAGGATTCTGATCATGTCAGCACTTGTTTTTGCTCGATTTTCAAAACAACAACAACAAAAAAATCTTAAAATGAACAGCAAAACCTTTGCAATTATGTTCTCATAGAAAGTTCATTAGCTCGATTTTCAACGGTTTGTTCAAGCTTTGAATGCAAATTGTCAAACAAGCCGCGGTTCGTTTGAAAAAGTACTAGTGAGGAGTCTGAATGTTCCCTGCAAAGAAATATTAAAGAGAACACATTCAGCACTTGTGTTGTGTGTAGCACTGTCTATTTTCCCTTGAAGTCCACTTTAAATGCTTCTTGCACCAAAAATAATTTTAAAAACCCTTCACTTTACTATGAACTCTTGACCTTGTTACTTCATACTGCATGAAGAAATTCATACTTTTATTCAACAAGGATATATTAAATTGATCAAAAGTGACAGTAAAGGGATTTATAAAGTAACAAAAGATTTCCACTGCAAATAAAAGCTGCTCTTTTGAACTTTCTATTAATCAAAGAATCCTGAAAAAAGTGCATCAGTGTTTCCACCAAAAATATGAATCAGCACAAATGTATCCAACATTGATATAAGAAGAAATGTTTCAAATCAGCATATTAGAATGATTTCTGAAAGATCGTGTGACTGAAGACTGGAGTAACAATGCATCACAGGAATAAATTACATTTTTAAAAAACAGTTATTTTAAATTGTGATCAATTGTAATTCACAATATGCCCATTTTTACTAAATTTTTTTGTCAAATAAAAGCAGCCTTGGTGAGTATAAGAGCCATACATAATCATATTACAGTACTGACATTTTGATTTTAAAGTCCCATTATGACACAAATTCACAATGCACATTGTAAGCACCAAAACTATTAATCACCATGAGTTCGACTAGGCTGAGATGGAAATGTGTTGGATCAGCTCTTCCAGACTGCTGAGTCTAACTCAAAGTCTAAAGCTTGCCATTTATCGTATCCATTGTCCAGCGGTAAGCACATGTTGCACCACGACACCGAAGCCCAATAATTCCCTGCTCCCCAGTGATCCACCAGTAATGAGTGTCAGACTCTCACCTGTCATCGAGTTCTCAGATGTGCTCAGCTGTTCCCTCAGTTTGTCCACGTCATCCGGATGGACCTGCTCAAAGAGCGTGCTGCCAAACCACTCGGACTGCGGATGGTTCAGAACGGGAGTGACAGAATCGGACACGTAGATAACGCGACCCGTCTCAGCCGCCACCACGAACAGGAAGCCATCAGCCGCCTCCAGAATCAAGTGCTTCAGTTCCTGTGACAGCAAATGGAGGTTTCAACTGATGTTTAAAGGACTTTCAAGTGATATTTAGAAAGTCAGAATTTTCCTACTCAACTTTTTGTTGTTTTTTTTGTGCATTTTGTTACACATTTTTTAATATTTGACTAAGGTATGTTACATACGGCATATTTACCCCATAAAGCCTGACACATAAAAATAAAAGTCTGACAAAACCTAATTTGGTTTGCATAGAACAGTTTATGTCCAAATCCAAAACAAAGAGTTTGCATATGTGACCCTGGACCACAAAACCAGTCAAAAGGGTCAATTTTTTTAAATTGAGATGTATACATCATCTGAAAGCTGAATAGATAAGCTTTCCATTGATGTATGGTTTGTTAGGAAAAAATTAAAATAGTGAGAAAATCGCCTTTAAAGTTGTCCAAATGAAGTTCTTAGCAATGCATATTACTAATCAAAAATTAAGTTTTGATATATTTATGGTAGGAAATTTACAAAATATCTTCATGGAACATTGAACTTTACTTAATATCCTAATGATTTTTGGCATAAAAGAAAAATCGATAATTTTGACACATACAATGTTTTTTTGGCTATTGCTAAAAACATCCCCAAGCGACTTAAGACTGGTTTTGTGGTCCAGAGTCACATATATTAATTCAAGAATGTTCTTTGGAAACAAGTCTTGAAATCTTTTCATGTTCTGTAAGCTGATTTTTTAAGAGGTTTTTACTGGATAACAGGACTAAAATTAAGAAAATGTATAAAATGTTATTTGATCAAAAGTCAGAAAGTCATTTTTAAGAACCTGCATACAGGTTTGTTGTAGGTGTCAAATGTTACACATAAACATTATAAAACTGGTTTAGTTATACTTACTGGATTAGTAAGATAATAAAAAAAGCACCAAATAATTAAAAAGGTCATATTTCTGTCATGCTCTTACTAACATTATTCATTTCTATTTGTCTGCCTCTGTAGGCGCAGCTGCAGTATTGATAAAGCTCCGTGCTCGCAACGGCACGCTGCACTTCTTTCCCATAGAAGAGACATTAATCGATCAGAGTCTCTGCGTTTTGACCCCACTGACAAAACACAACGTATCTTCCGACCCTCTGACCTAATATACGGGGAAGTTTTGGGAAAAGGTTGTTTTGGACAAGCCATAAAGGTAAAGCAATATGTCTGAATGATCACAGTGA